CGACGATGCATGGACTTACATCACGGCCGACGATGCATGGACTTACATCACGGCCGACGATGCAAGGACTTACATCACGGCCGACGATGCATGGACTTACATCACGGCCGACGATGCAAGGACTCACATCACGGCCGATGATGCATGGACATCGGACATCACGACAAAGACTCACGTCACGGCCGACGATGCAGAGGAAGAAGTAGCTCTGCGGGTCTATGCCGGTCATGAAGCGGGTGCTGATGTAGCCGCCGGCGCGCGGGTTCATGTCGTAGGGCAGGAACGAGGGGAGGCTCTTGCCGGCCAGGCTCAGCGGCATCCTTTTGCCGTCCAGGGCCGTGGGGCCAAACAGCGACGCCATTTGGTTCATGTTCACCTGTATGCAAATAATTAATTTGATTAGTGGTGTTTCTAAATAAGGAATAATAAAAGAAACTGAATATAGAACACAGAAACCAATGTATATAGCAATGGTTCTCAGACTTTTCGGTTAATACCTAGTAGAAAATATCAAGATAAGCATAGAAAAAATATAACTCAGTACTCACTGCAGTGAGTCACAGTGAACGCATTTTCTCGTCGACGAAAACGTGAAGTCACGGACGGACAGACAGACAGACGGACAGTCGGACGGACGAACATGGCGAGCATAATAGCGCATTTTTTTCATAAATGAGAAAATGCGCTAAAAATAATCTATTTATGGTGTTTCTATAAGATGGAATAATAAAAATAACTGAATATAGAAGACAGTAACCACTATATATAGCAGTGGTTCTCAGACTCGTCATTTGATACCGAATAAAAATAGCAAGATAAGCACGTCACCAATGTCAATGTTTTTGATGTTGTTATACAAGGCTAGATTAAAAAAACTAAAAAATATCATCTAACCACACCCTACACCTTGGAGCCCTTAGCGCCGGAGTCGACCATAAGGCGCATGCTGTTGTTGAGCGTGCGCCTGTGCAGTCCGCGCTCGTTCTCGCTGCACGCATTAGACATGACAGAAATAAGATAACTAATGATTAAAAGATAACAATATTAAGTGGGTGGTACTCAGATAAACGAGCACAATGGCTGTTAAATTAAACGAGGCCGATATGGATAAGATAAGAAACAATAGCTGCTAATATAAAATGATATAATAGGCCGCGCTCGTTCTCGCTGCACGCATTAGACATGACAGAAATGAGATAACTAATGATCAAAATATAACAATATAAAGTAGGTGCTGCTCGGATAAACGAGCACAATGGCTGGTAAATTAAACGAAGCTGACATAGATAAGCCAAGAAACAGTAGCTCCCAATATAAAGGGATATATAATAATATAAGGGATAATATATATTGGGCATCAGTTCACAAGCCCCGACGCTTTGCGCAGCCTTGTTTTCCCACGACATGACAGGGAACTGTTTTCTTACTAGAACTTGGAAAGCCATAGTGTGAAATTTTCTCAACAATTTCCTGCCCAACGTGAATAATAGAGGGCTATGATAACAAAGATTCGTCGAGGAATCATCGAGGTTCCGAACACTTCAAGGTTCTGAACACCTCGAGGTTCTAGACTCACGAGGTCACCGAGGACGTAGTCTTGCCCAGAACTTGAGTGTAAGCACC